ATTCCTATGCACACTGCACATATCTTATTTTGAAGTAAAAAAAACAAAACGGGAACAAATACAATATTTATATTTGCATGTTGCCCGTGGGCCGTAGTTTGAGGACCCCTGGTGTAGATGGACCACAGAGTTCTAATCCATTCATCTGCTGATGGGCATTTAGGCTGTTTCCAGATCTTAGCTGTGGTGAATTGTGCTGCTATGAACATAGGGGTGCATAAATCCTTTCTGATTGGTGTTCCTGGTTTCTTGGGATATATTCCTAGAAGTGGGATCACTGGGTCAAATGGGAGTTCCATTTTTAACTTTTTGAGGAAACTCCATACTGTCTTCCATAGTGGCTGCACCAGTCTGCATTCCCACCAGCAGTGCACGAGTGTTCCTTTTTCTCCACATCCTCTCCAGCACTTGTCGTTTGTTGATTTGTTGATGATAGCCAGTCTGACAGGTGTGAGATGGTACCTCATTGTTGTTTTGATTTGCATCTCTCGGATGATTAGTGACTTTGAGCATGTTTTCATATGTCTCTTGGCTTTCTGAATGTCCTCTTTTGAAAAGTGTCTATTTAGGTCCTTTGCCCATTTTTTAATTGGGTTGTTTATCTTCCTTTTGTTAAGTTGTATGAGTTCCCTATAAATGTTGGAGATTAAACCCTTATCGGTGATAACATTGGCAAATATGTTCTCCCATGCAGTGGACTTTCTTGTTGTTTTGTTGATGGTTTCTTTTGCTGTGCAGAAGCTTTTTATTTTGATGTAGTCCTATTTGTTTATTTTCTCTTTCGTTTCCAATGCCCTAGGAGCTGTATCGGTGAAGAAATTGCTTCGGCATATGTCTGAGATTTTGTTGCCTTTGGATTCCTCTAGTATTTTTATGGTTTCCTGTCTTACATTTAAGTCCTTTATCCATTTTGAGTTTATTTTTGTGTATGGTGTAAGTTGGTGGTCTAGTTTCATTTTTTTGCATATATCTGTCCAATTTTCCCAACACCATTTATTGAAGAGACTATCTTGACTCCATTGTATGTTCTTGCCTCCTTTGTCAAATATTAATTGAGCATATTGGTTTGGGTCGATTTCTGGGCTCTCTATTCTATTCCATTGATCTATATGTCTGTTCTTGTGCCAGTACCAGGCAGTTTTGAGAACAGTGGATTTGTAATACAGCTTGGTATCTGGTATTGAGATCCCACCTACTTTGTTCTTTCTCAGGATCACTGCAGCTATTCGGGGTCTTTTTTTATTCCAGATGAATTTTTGGAGAGTTCGTTCTAGGTCTTTGAAGTATGCCATTGGTATGTTAATGGGAAGTGCGTTGAATTTATAGATTGCTTTGGGTAGTATGGACATTTTAATGATGTTGATTCTACCAATATATGAACATGGTATATGCTTCCATTTGTTCATGTCTTTCTCTCTCTTTTTTCAGCATTCTGGAATTTTCTGAGTACAGGTCCTTTATCTCCTTGGTTAAGTTTATTCCTATGTATCTTAATATTTTTGTTGCAATGGTAAATGGGATTGCTTTTTTAGTTTTTCTTTCTGTAAGTTCACTATTGGTGTGTAGGAAAGCCATAGACTTCTGGGTGTTAATTTTGTATCCTGCTACATTGCCGAATTCATTTATTAAGTCCAGTAGTTTTTTGATGGAGTCTTTGGGGTTTTTTATGTATAATATCATGTCATCTGCGAATAAGAACAGTTTTACTTCTTCTTTTCCAATTTGGATGCCTTTTATTTCTTCTTGTCTGATCTCAATGGCTAGTACTTCCAGTACTATGTCAAACAGGAGTGGTGAGAGTGGGTATCTCTGTCTTGTTCCTGTTCTTAGTGGAAATGATTTTAGTTTTTGCCCATTGAGTATGATGTTGGCTGTGGGTTTGTCATATAAGGCTTTTATTATGTTGAGGTATGATCCTTTTATTCCCACCTTGCTGAGGGTTTTTATCAAGAAAGTGTTGGATTTTTGTCAAATGCTTTTTCTGCATCAGTGGGTATGATTATTTGGTTTTTATCTCTCAGTTTTATATGGTGTATCACATTTATTGATTTGCGGATATTGTACCATCCCCCCTGGAATAAATTCCACTTGATCATGGTGTATGATCTTTCTAATGTATTGCTGGATTCAATTTGCTAGAATTTTTTTGAAAAATATGGAATGCTTCACGAATTTGCGTGTCATCCTTGCGCACGGGCCATGCTAATCTTCTCTGTATCATTCCAATTTTAGTGTATGTGCTCCCGAAGAGAGCACCCAAATACCATTCTAAAAAATAAAGACAGCATAGAAAAAATGTCAAATTTGACTATACCATTCACTTTCTCTTCCTCATACTCATATTAAATGCCTTCTATATGCCGCACTTATTGTGGGCACTTATAAATGAGAAAGGGTTGGAGAAAAGGCTGATGTCATAAAAGAACCATTTGGTGTTGGGGAGTGTGCAGTAGCATGTTATCAAGTAAGATTAGAGCTTGAGCTGAGTTGGACTACTAGAGGAGTTAGTTCTTTTCTTTCAGTGGAAAGGGTTGTAATGATTGAGGGATATTTCCCTGCCTTATTTTTTGAATCTTACCAGATCATTGTTCTCTCAGTGACCTCCAACAGCTTTGTATTTTGGTGCCTGAAAGCTTTCCCCAGGACCCAGTTTTTGTGCTCTTTTGGCCTATGAATTAATTCACAACTCTCCTCCCCCTCTCTCCAGAAGTTTTCAACTATGACTGACTGGGAGATGGGTCTATAACTGCTCCAGCTCTTTCACCTCTGTACTTTTATACTGTTTCTCAGAGATTACTTTGGGGTTAAACTCCAGTTACCCACTGTGGTAGCTACTTTAATATTGTACGCTATTCAGGCTACATTGCCTTCCCTATTTTACTAGTACTTTTCCATCCCCCTTCTACTTGTACTGAATCTTGATCTCAAGGTCTACTTCCATAGGAACCTAAATTAAGATAAGGATATTTCTGTTCTGGTAAATTAATCCATTCTTAGTTTTTCTAATATCTTTGTCATCAGAAAAACAGTTAAGTGCGCGTTTTAAAAAACTGTGATTTTGGTGTTCACTGAGACCACTTTGTAATAACAAAGTTGATTCTGGATAACAGAAAATATAAATGTATTATATTTTAGTGTTTCTTTCAGTTTGCTTTCTCAGTATTATATATACACTAGGGGCCCGGGGGGGGGGGGGGTCCCTCAGCCCGGCCTGCGCCCATTCACAGTCCAGGACCCCTTGGAGGATGTCCACCTGTCAACTTAGGCCCACTCCCTGGGGGATCAGGCCTAAGCTTGCAGTCAGACATCTTTCTGGCAGCCAGGGAGCCCTTGGGGGATGTCCGACTAAAGGCTTAGGCCCCCAAGGGATCGGGTCTAAACCGTTAGTTGGACATTCTTAGTGCTGCCACGGAGGTGGGAGAGGCTCTTGCCACCACCACTGCGCTGGCCAGCCATGAGCCAGCTTCTGGCTGAGTTGCACTCCCCATATGGAAGTGCACTGACCACCAGGGGGCAGCTCCTGCATTGAGAGTCTGCCCCCTGGTGGCCAGTGCGCATCAGACCAACCGGTCATTCTGCCGTTCAGTCAATGTGCATATTATCCTTTTATTATTATTATATAGGATGTCCCTATTTCCCCCCTTTTGCCCCCTCTACCCAGCTCTTGTCCCCCACTTCTCTCTGGCCATCACCATACTGTTGTCTGTGTCCATGGGTTGTGCATATATTTTTTTTGGCTAATCCCTTCTTTAAATTCATTTTTTAATTTTTATTTTCAGATAACTGCTTATAACTGCACTATTATATATTTTCTATTATATCATTTAGAATTAAGATATTTTTTAATTGAACCCTTGTAAATTTTAGCACAATTTAATAAATTATGCTAGAAGCAATTAGATTTTTCATGTAATGCAGATACATTTTAATTAATATTTTATTAATTTTTAATTTTTTAATATTTTAATTTGAAATTATATCATACATGTAAAAAGAACTATAAAATACTACAGCATATTATATGTACCCTTCACCCAATTTCTTAGGTGTTAATAATTTAAACATAACCATTATACAACTAACAAAATTTGGAATATATTTTTCTTATAATCTCTTTAATGTTACTTAATCCATTTACTTTGTTTTTGTTAATCTTCACCCAAGGGTATTTTTCCATTGAATTTTGAGAGAGTGAAGGGAAAGGGAGAGACACATTGATTGGTTGCCTCCTACACATGCTTTGATAGGGACTGGGGATCAAGCCAGCAACTGAGGTACATGCCCTTGACTGGAATTGAACCTGGGACCCTTCAGTCCACGGGCTAATGCTCTATCCACTGAGCAAACAGGCTGCAGCTTAATTCATTTACTTTTAATCTATATGTGTCTTTATATTTAAAGTGGGTTTTGTTTTTGATTCACCCTCATAATCTGTCTTTTAATTGGTGCATTTATGCCACTGACTTTCAGAGTGCTTACTGATAGAGTTACTACCATATCAGGTGGCTTCTGGGGCTTCTGGGGCGGGGCTGCCTTGCTGCCTGGGACCTGCTGATGATCGGGTCCCCGGCGGCAAGGCGGGGCTGGCTCCTGGGGACTTCTGGGGTGGGGCTGCCTTGCTGCCCGGGACCCGCCGATGATTGGGTCCCAGGCAGTAAGGCGGGGCCGGCTCCTGGGGCTGGCCCTGCCCTGGATGGCAGCGCGATGGCAGCTCTCGCTGTCCCGCCCTGCCTGCAGTATGCAAATTAGCCGCCATCTTTGTTGGCGGTTAATTTGCATATTGTGCTTATTAGCCAATGGGAGGTGTAGCGAAGATACGGTCAATTACCATATTTGTCTATTATTAGATAGGATTGTAATATTCCTTTGGGAACAGACAAGAAGACTATAAATTATGAGAATCATTGCTATATCATTTGGTTTACTCAAGTGGAAGCACAGAACCTCTCACCCCCCTTACTGGTTATAGAGAAATGTTTATTAACTCATAAAATAAATGAGATGTTTGGGGTCTTGGAGGAAAGAAGCAAGAGCATTTTAAAAAGTTTTACTGTAGGTAAAAATGTGTTAAAATTTTTTAGTGAGTAGGACATTGTCTTAAATGTGTCTTAAAATTGCTTACCAAAAATGTTATAGGCAGAAAATGCATGGATTCTCAGAAAGAATTCTTATTGAAGTGTATTTACAAATTTAAACTATATTGCGATGTATTCAGTAACTCATTCTTACAGTATCTGAAGCATATTATACATGATAGATGCTTGATACTTAAAAAAAAATAAATGAGCACTTCATTTCTCACAAAGGAGTGTTTCATTCAATTCAGTATTTATTTAATAATTCAATGATTATATATTTATTTCAATAATTACCTACTTTCTTCTTTGCTGACTTGATGCTAGAAATAATGAAGTGAATACAGCAGATAACAATTTACTGAGTGTTTGATACAACATGCCTTTGGATAGGCATTACAAACATAAATACGTGGAAGGATGTTTTTGACTATGTAAATGTAATGGACTCTGAGAACATACAATAAAGGAATGTATAGACTTAAGTGTACAGCCCTGGCTGGTGTGGCTCATTTGCCCCATGCACTGAGAGGTCGTAGGTTAGATTCCTGGTTAGGGGACTTGCCCAGGTTGTGGGCTCACTCCCCAGTAGGGGGCATGCAGGAAGCAGCTGATCCTGATTGATGTTTCTCTCTGTCCCTTTCCCTTCCTCTCTCTCTAAAATCAATAAACACATTTAAAATAATAAAAGAAACATAGTAAAATAACTTTAAAAAAAGGACTTAAGTGTACAATGTTAATGTTTTGGGAACTGAAGGAGAATGGTTACTCTGAAAAAGTAATATTTTTTATCTGGTAGTGTACACTGTTTTCTTTTGCTGATTGATTATCATATTTATATTATTTTATTTGGAGCCATTTATTATATATCTGAATTGATATAATATGAACATTTTTGTATCATACAAATCTACACTCCACTTCTCAATTAAATTATTGCCTCTTCTAAAATTTATTTTTGTGTCCCAGGATCTAGTTCACTGACTTGCGGGGGTGGAGGGTCCCCTCAGACCAGCCTGCACCCTCTCCAATCGTACATCCCTCTCGCAATCTGGGACTGCTGGCTCCTAACTGCTCACCTGCCTGCCTGATCGCCCCTAACTGCCCTCCCCTGCTGACCTGATTTTGCCCCCAACTGCTTTCCCCTGCCAGCCTAATCTCACCCTCAACTGCCTCTGCCTGCCTGATCACCCCTAACTACCCTCCCCTGCTGGCCTCATCTCGCCCCCAACTGCCCTCCCCTGCCGGCCTAATCTTGCCCCCAACGGCCCTCCCCTGCTGACCTAATCTCGCCCCAACTACCTTCCCCTGCTGGCCTGATCTTGCCCCTAACTGCCCTCCTCTGCAGGCCAATTTGGTTCTGATTGGTTGGTTTCTATGCCAGTCAGTGTCAAAAGCTCCGCCTCCTAGGCAGCCATTGGCTCCTCACAGTTGACCCATATTTGGTTCTGATTGGTTGGTTTCTATGCCAGTCAGCGTCTCTGGGCCTATCAATGGGGCCTGATCAGAAAGGCAGGGCTGATCAGCAGCCCCGGTGGAGGCCTGGAGAGAAATGGAGGCGCAGCTGCTGGTCCAGCCAGGAGAGAAAGAGAGAGGCAAGTGCTGATCAACAGCTGCCACACAGGCTACAGATCAGACCCTGCTTCTCTCTTCAGGCCTCTCTCTGGGCCTGATTCGCAGCCCCCTCAGCAGTCAGTGCTGGGTCGCCACGGCAACCCAACGCTGACTGCAGGTCTGACTTCCAGTTGGTCAAGCCTCAGGTCGTGATGGACCCAGGGTTTTTATATATTAGGATTTGTTGAATAATTTGCACTCGTTTGTGTAATTGAGGTCTTTTGAATGCTTTGGGTCTTTAAAACTCTTCTGAACCACTCAAAGTAAAAATTGCTATCATAAGTTACTTTTGAGATTCTTGCCTTGTTGATTGTGAAAGGGAGAAAACAACGTAACTTTATGGTATTTTGGTAAGTACTATGTGTTTAGTTTGCATAAGATTAGAGGTATAATGAATTTGTCTAAGTATTTTACCAGCTCCAATTTTTATGTGTAGGTGTACTTATCTAAAATTACTATATTTCTGAGTGGCTTATGTTAGTTTTCAACAGGTAATTTTTATTTCCCCCTCTTTTTTTAATTTTTTTTTTTTAATAAACAGGATTGCTTCACAGTGGAGGGGGAGGATTTGAAGCATGACTTTGAACGCTTACAACTGGCCATGGAAATGGTAGGATTTCTTCCCAAGACACAAAGACAGTGAGTTTATTTATTGTTTTTATACCTTGAGCAGAGAACAAATTATGATGTGTGTTTAAGAATTCCTCTTTCTTGGTCCTTTGAGACACTTTTATTATAGTCCTGGTTTAGTGCCTTTTCCTTCTTAGGTGTGGCTTAGAAAATTTATTTTTCTAAAAGACTTGTTTTGAATTGTTTTTTTGTCAAAAAATTCTTTGAGATATTTTGAAAATCAGTTGAAAGCCCAGGAGCTCTTCTTCCTGTACAATTTATATTTATAAACATTTGCATATAATTGCAAGAGTTTCTGGTGTCCCTGAAGCCTCTTCATGAACCTTATGTAAACACTGTTGCTTTATAACACTATTTTTATAGTTTTTTATTTTCTGTATCATTGATCTCTAATCTTATTAAAGCTCACATACCTATCAGTAAAACATAATTTCCATATATTTACTCTTTAAAGTAATGTCTGTACTATTTGTACTAAACATTTTGTTTATTGTATTAAATACGTTGAACTAAAATAAAATGTAAAAAGGTTGAGATAAAGATGAAGTAAGCGATACATAACATAAACTATTTCAAATTAAAGACACAAATAACCTTGACTCTCACCAGAAAAATAATTGTAACATTACTAATTTAAAAAAAAGTTTATTGATTTTTAGAGAGAGAGGAAAGAGAGGGAGAGAGAGAGAGAAACATCAATGATGAGAGAGAATCATTGATCGGCTGCCTCCTACACACCCCCCTACTAGGGAGAGCCTGTAACCCAGGCATGTGCCCTTGACCAGAATAGAATCTGGAACCCTTCAGTATGCTGTCCAACACTCTATCCACTGAGCCAAACCTTTTTAATGAGATTTCCTTTAACTGTACATTGTTTCTGCTTCTTTGTTTTTAGGTATCCTGCCTTATAGTATGGTTATTGTTATCTCCAAATGGAAGATTATAAGCTTTTTGAGAACAGGGACTCTTATTTATATTTATTAATCTTTTTTATATTGAATTATAGTATATTGATTTGCTTATATGATGTTTCTTATTCCTGGAGTCTATGCATTACATATTTGTGTATGAGGAAACATTAATGTGCTGATTTTTGAACCCAAAGTTCTGAAACAATGTAATTACCAACCATAGAAACTACTGCAAAAACAGTTTTTAAAAATGGCTCAGGCCTGGCTGGTGTGGCGTGGTGTTTGAGCGTCAGCCCATGAACCTGGAGGTTACAGTTTGATTCTCGGTCGGGGCACATGCCGGGGTTTCGGGGTTTCGGGCTCAATCCAAAGGGGGTGTGCAGGAGGCAGCCGATGGATGTTTCTCTTTTATTGATGTTTCTATCTCTCTATCCTTTTCCCTTCCTCTCTGTGAAATCAATAAAAAATTTTTTTAAAAAATGGCTCAGTAATTACTGTTTGTATATCTTTTGACTTCTGTTTATTTTTATAATATTTCACTTGATACTAAGTTTCCTCTTTAATTTAACCCAGTCTAACTTTATGACTTAGTCCTTTATAATTGACTTGTTTTTTGTTTGAATCATTAAACATTTTTAATTATTTAAGAAATTAGACCTATAAATTAGATGTTGACTCAGGACCTCTAAAAATATAGCTATAGGTCCCTAAAGAAGTATCTTTATTTATTTAGAATACTTCCTAATTTTAGTAAAACACATAGTGTAAATTTCATAAGTAAGGACAAATTTATCCTAAAGAAATAAAGTGGTCAAGGCACAAATATATGTATATATCTGAATTTTCAGGAATGGCTTTTAGATATAGTTGTGTTCAATTTTAGATGGTCAGTTGTGTTAAATGCCTTTGAGATGTCAGGTAAGTTAAGGAATAATATGCTTTTCTTAGTTACATGGAAGTCCTTGGTAACCTCTATGAGACATTTTAGATGCCAGAATGTGATTGTAAAAAGGGATGACAAAGTAAAGACAAGGATTTATAAGTCAGTCCTTATTAGTATGCTTGTTTGTGAAGGGGAGGAAGAAGATGTGGAATCTAGGATGGGTTTTTTAAAGTGAGAGAGAAGTGAACATGAGATTATTTTGATTAAAAATTCTTATAGGTTTAGGTGAGTGATACAAAAAAAGTATAATAATGTATCCCAGCAAACTGGAGTTCATGGGATGGAGAGCGCAAGTGGAGGGATTAGTTTGCTGACTGGAAGAGGGGCATGTGTTCCTCAAAGACTGGAGGGTGGGGGGGAAGACAAAAGGGAGGGTCTAGATGTAAATGTCTCACAGTTGGGGCTTGATATTAGATAATGTACCCCAATGGCCTCAGGCTGTTTTAAAAAAACATTTATCAAGGGTACCATCATATGATGTAGGAAAGCCTTTTTTTAAAAAAAAATTTATCTTTATCGTTGAAAGTATTACAGATATCCCATTGGGCTCCTCTACCTTGTTCCAGTCCCCTTCCTGGGCCTTCCTGCACACTATTGTCTGTCCATGGGCCATGCATATCCTACATAATAAAAGCCTAATATGCTAAGTGTCCAGTCATCCGTTCAACCAATCAAAGCGTAATATGCTAATGATATGCTAAGGTCTCTCAACCGCTCGCTATGACATGCACTGACCACCAGGGGGAGACAATAGACCAGTTGACCATTCGCTATGACATGCACTGACCACCAGGGGGCAGACAGTCAACTGGTCGACCGGTTGCTATGATGTGCACTGACCACCAGGGGGCAGACGCTCCAACTTCCAACTGGTAGGTTAGCTTGCTGCTGGGGTCCGGCTGATCGGAACTGAGCGAGATGGGCCGAACATGCCCTAGAGCCCTCCCGCGCTCCCTCCCTGGCTAGCCAACCTCTTGTGTCCCTCCCCAGCCCCAGTCGTGTACTGGTGGGGTCCCTTGGCCTGGCCTGCACCCTCTTGCAATCCGGGACCCCTTGGAGGATGTCAGAGAGCCGGTTTCGGCTTGATCCCGTGACATTTGGACATCCCCGGAGGGCTCCCGGACTGCGAGAGGGCACAGGCCAGGCTGAGGGACCCTCCACCCAAGTACATGAATTTCATGCACCAGGCCTCTCGTATACATATAAGTTCATTGGTTCATCTCTCCTTACCCCTCCCCTCTGAAATATGTCAGTGTATTGCATGCTTCAGTGTCTCTGGGTCTCTTTTGTTCATCAGTTTAATTTGTTCATTAGATTCCAAATATAAGTGAGATCATGTAATACATGTAGGAAAGGCTTTCTTAAATACTAGAGGTCCGGTGCACAGATTTGTGCACTTGTGGGGTTTCTCAGCTTGGCCTGCGCCCTCTTGCAATCCAGGACGCCTTGGGGGATGTCAGACTGCCGGTTTTAGCCTGATCCCTGTAGGCCAGGCCAAGAGACCCCACCGGGCCTCTAGTATGCATAAAAGATCTTTGGTTAATCTCTTCTCACCCTCCCTTCTCCCCGCTTCCCTCAGATTCATCAGTGTGTTCCATGTTTCCATACCTGTGCGTTGAACGTCTACCCCCCTAGTGGCTAGCACACGTCATAGCTACTGATTGAAAGGTCGAACAGTCGCTTAGCCTTTTATATATATAGACTAGGGGCTTAGTGCACAAAGTTGTGCACCTTGAAAGGAACTGTGGGCCGGGAGGCTATGGTAGGCACAGGGGCTGGTCTCGGCACACCCTCTGTGCCCCTGCCCAGCCCCTTCTGCCGTAGCCCCTGGTTCCCTATCTGCCAGCAGCTCCGCTCCCGCTGTCGCTGCTCCCACACGCTGATGGCGCCAGCTCCGCTCGCACCCGCTGAAGGCGTGGAGCAATTGTGGCCAGCGCCAACAGCGGGTGCAAGCGGCAGCTGCTGTCCCGATCTCCCCTCAGGAGCAAGAGGAGGTGGAGAAGCCCTGAGGGGCGATTGGGGCCGGTAGCTGCCGCTCGTACCTGCTGATGGTGCTGAGTGATCGGGCCTGGCACCGGGCGCTAGCAGTGGGTGCCAGCGGCGGCTCCAATGCCAGCAGCGGGTGCAGGTGGGGCCAGCGCCAGCAGCAGGTGCAAGCACCCGGCGGGACTGCGACACGCGGGAGCAAAGAATTTTAAGTAACCACCAGTGGCTTGCACCGATGACAGTGACCGGTGCCCCACCTTGGTCTGGCACTCCTGCTCACCTGCTCCACCATCCCACTGCAGCTGACGCCCACTATGTTCCACGCACGCCCTCTGGTGGTCAATGCACGTCATAGCGACCGGTTGTTCGGTTGTTCTGCCATTCAGTCTATTTGCATATTAGCCTTTTATTACATAGGATAACTGCTAACTAAAAAAAATCACCTAGGATACGTGGTTAAAAATACAGATTCCAAGGCATGAAACATTCTTATTCAGTAGATCTGAAATAGACAGTGTAGGAAAAGGGCATTCCAGTCAGGATGAAAAGCATTTAGGAACGAATGGACTTTTGAAACACTACAGCAGATTCAGATAATAGCAAGATGTCCCCTTCAGATAACTTTTCTGACAAGTGGTAGGTACAATACTGAAGTTAAAGTTTTTTAAAGCACTTTGCACAATGACTAAAGTAGTAAACACTCAATAAATTTTATAGTTCTAATTACTCCCATATTTCTTATTTTCTGAAGACTATTTGTACTAGTTAATTTGCTTGATTATGATTTTTGGGATGAAATAAGCTTAGAGAATACACAGAAACAAGTTGTAATTTGTAATTTTATTTTTGCAGGATTTTCTCTCTTCTATCAGCAATACTACATTTGGGTAATATCTGTTACAAAAAGAAGACATACCGGGATGACTCCATAGATATCTGTAATCCTGAAGTTCTTCCTGTTGTCTCAGAATTATTAGAAGTGAGTGATTACATTTTCAATTGTCATTTCAAATACTGGGTAACTTGTCAGTTTTTATTTTGTGGAAGTTTTGTAGGGGTAAATAGGTTAATGCTTTTTTATTAATAGTGTTTGCCCAAAAGATGGAAATTTTGCTATTGCGTGTGCCACAATGTTTGGAAAATTTGGGTTTTCTGCCCTGCCTCCTCTTGCCCTAGATACCCATAATCCCTCAATTTGCTGTATAGGATGAATATTTCACTCAAGATGGCATAATATTCTAGGCCTTTACTACTTTTTCTTCTATATTTCAGATTTCTTCTCATGTTAAGACTTTGTTTAGATTGTTTTATTTGAAGATGGGGTACCTGGATGGATGGGGAGAAAAGGATACTAATTTTTCTTTCTTCATAGTTATATAGAAACCTACGATGCTTCTTTCCATAACAAGGTCTTTATTACCTTACTAGAGGCCCGGTGCACGAAATTCGTACACGGGGTTGGGCCCCTTCAGCCCAGCCTGCACCCTCTCCAATCCAGGACCAATCTGGGACTGCTGGCTCCTCTTGCAATCTGGGACTGCTGGCTCCTAACCGCTTGCCTGCCTGCCTGCCTGATTGCCCCTAACCCCTCTGCCTGCCTGATCGCACCTAACCACCTCTGCCTGCCTGCCTGATCGTCCCTAACTGCTCCTCTGCTGGCCTGATCGCCCCTAACCACCTCTTCCTCACCCCGCACCCGGGACCCAGAATTCCCTCCTTCAGCCAGTCGCAGGCACCCAGGACTTGGGCTTCCTTCCCTCTGGTTGACTGCAGGCACACAGGACCTGGGCCGGCTTTGCCTGGGCCAGCCACAGCCGCAGGGGACTGTGGATGGGCGGCTTCGCCCGGTTGCAGCCGCACATGCCTGGGACCACGGGGTGTGCGGCTTGTCCCTCTCCCAGGCCGCAGCCTGGCTGGTCCTCATTCCTCTCTCCCCAGTGTTGAGTGTCTGAGCCATTATTGCGTGACGTCGTGAGGGCGTGATGCCCATTTGCATATTAGCTCTTTATTATATAGGATTATATAGGATTCTTTCTGTAGTGATGATTTCTCATGCTTCCCAGCTAACTTCTCATCTTGCCAGATTCATTTTGAAAGGGATATCATTTTTCATAGGCTCTCTCCTATGACAGAGTAAGGAAATATATGTATGTATACTAACCTAAGTATATTCATATATCTACAAATATTTTTGTCTAGCTATATATATATATATAAAGATGAGGTTTGCTAATGTTTCTAACTAATCCATTATCACATGTATCAGTCTAGCCTTCTCCCCTTACTTATATGTAAACTCCCACTCTAACATTGAGGAACCTGTCTCCCATCATCTTCCATTCATTAATTATTCAATTCTAGTATACATGTATAACAGTATTAGAATTGTTAACCCATACTTCTGTGGGAAATGACTTTGTCAACTAGAGTAGAGTGCTATAGAGCATAGTTCCTTTTGCCTTTAGTTTTATAGACTTCCTTCATTTTCAGAATTAGTTTTCTTCCCACCCACTTTCTTGAACATTGTGGTTGTTTCATATATTTGTCATATAGTCAGATTCTCTTGTCATGGTCTGAATTCTTTTCTAGGATCCCCCGGTGCCTTAAATAATTTTCTAAAACTTTGTATAGATTAAGATTCACTCTTTGTGCTGTATGGGTTCCGACAAAGGCATAATGTCATGTATCCTCTGTTAAACAGTATCATACAAAATAGTTTCCCTGCCCTAAAAATCCCCTTCACCTAATCAACCCCTTCCCCACTGATGCCTGGCAACCACTCACCTTTTTACTAACTGTAGATTTGCCCTTTCTAGAATGTAGCATAATTGGAATCATACAGTACGTAGCCTTTTCAGACTGACTTGTTTCACTTAGCAATATGCATTTAAGACTCATCCATGCTTCTTGTCTCAATAGCTCATTTCTCTATATTGCTGGGTAATATTCCATTATAGCTATATCATGGTATAGCTATATCATAGTTTATTTATCCATTCACCTCTTAAAGGATATCTTGGTTGTTTACAGTTTTTTTTTTGCAATTATGAATAGCTTGCTTTTTTCTATTAAAATATTGCTCATCTTTAAAATCTTGATTCATGTGCCAGCTCATGAAGTTTAACCTTGTTAAATGGTCTGACTCCATCAGTTTCTACTTAACATAGTTTATTTTTAGTTTTATAGCAGAAAGTTAATTGTTAACTAGTTTATGCCCATTATAAGGTGGCGGTGTTCTCTGAGAGCAATGGATGCCTCTTTCTTGTTTATCTGACCTTAAAGTGTTTATTATTTTGTACATGCCTGGGTGTTGCTTATTAACTTCAATGGAATGAGTTAGCCTGGCAGAAGGGCCAGGAGAAGGGAGGAGTACCTTAATTCAGAACTAGATTCACTCAGTGGAAATTCTACCAGGATGTTGAGTGTGGTATCTAAAGGTTGTAATTTTGAAGGTCATGAGGGTCAGAGAAAATTTCAGTCAGGCATTTTAAGTAATATTGTAGTCAAACATTTGGAATTGTAATACAGGGATTGTGGCTGGTGATCAACAAGTAGCAAGGTTTTTGGTTCTAGTGCAGTATTTATTCTTTGGTGAGAGACTGGTAAGAGCAATTCAAAGCAGTACTCAGATATTGGTAAAAAAAAAAAAAAAAAGGAGAAATAAAATCCTGAGAATGGTTACCAGTGTCAAAGTTAGGCCAACAGCAAATGTGATTTGATAGCAAATCTCACTTTATAACATAAGCTTTTAAAATTCTTTCTTGTTATATATAGTTTGGATTGGTTCTAGGAATAGAGATTGGGTAATAAGCAGAAAGAAGATATCTTCAAAGATGAGGAGCTAGAGAAGATATGACAGCACCTACCATGGTATCCTGTCTATAGTTAGCGTAGTGATTAATCACAAAAACAATATATAATTATATACGTGTTTTCCGATGGTCTTAGGCGACCCCTGTGAAAGGGTTGTTCGACCCCCAAAGGGGTCTCGACCCACAGGTTGAGAACCGCTGCTCTAGCCAAAGGGCAAATAAAGGGATAACCTAGCAAGACAGAAAACATTTAAATAATAACCACTCAATTCCAGCCAAACACCATAGGAAAAAAACTATGCTCCTGCACCCAAACTATGCCAGCCAAGGTCAAGTAGGGAGCCCAGACTGCCACCCTACTTGTCTGTAACAAGGATTGGGGTGCAATGTTAGAGGAGGCCTAGTGGAGAGGCAGGACTTTTACCATAGCTCAGTGGTAACAAGGTCACCTACTTCAGTATCAGTGGAGACTGCCAGAACTCCCCACCCCATCCATTGGTAATGAGGAGCTCCCTCTCACATGCCAATGAAGGCTGAGTGGAGAACCTGGACTTCTGCCTCCACTTTGCAGTAACAAGGGAGTTCCTCCCACCCCTTTCTGGCTGGAGGGGTATCAAAAAAGCCAGATAAGCCATCAATAATTATTCTAAATGTAAATGGTCTGAATTCACCAGTAAAGAGGCACAGAGTAGCAGAGTGGGTCAAAAAACAAAACCCAACCATATGCTGCCTAAAAGAGATACATCTAAACAGCAAAGACAAAGGCAGATTCAAAGTAAAAGGGTGGGAAATTATTCTCCAAGCAAATAACATCCACAGAAAAGCAGGTGTAGCCATACTTATATCTGACAAAATAGATCTCAAGATAACAAGTGACAAAGCTGGACATTTTATAATGATAAAGGGAACACTACATCAAGAAAACATAACATTTCTTTTAAAAAAATATATATATTTTATTGATTTTTTTTACAGAGAAGAAGGGAGAGGGATAGAGAGTTAGAAACATCGATGAGAGAGAAACATCCATTCAGCTGCCTCCTGCACGCCCCCGACTGGGGATGTGCCCGCAACCAAGGTACATGCCCTTGACCGGAATCGAACCTGGGACCCTTCAGTCTGCAGGCCGATGCTCTATCCACTAAGCCAAACCGGTTAGGGCTTCCTGGAAGATTTTTGATTGCTGTTTCAATTTCTTCGGTAGTTATCGGCCTATTCAGGTTTTTTTATTCTTCTTGGTTGAGTTTTGGGAGCCTGTATTTTTCTAAGAATATGTCCATTTCAACTAGGTTGTCCATTTTGTTGGAATAGAATTGATCATAGTATTTTTTCATAATCATTTGTATTTCTGTGGGATCGTTTGTTACTTCACCTCTTTCATTTCTGATTTTGTTTATTTGGGTCCTCTCTCTTTGATTCTTGGTGAGCCTGGCTAGAGACTCATCAATCTTGTTTATTGTTTCAAAGAACCAGTTCTTGGTTTTGTTGACCTTTTTAATAGTATTTTTGGTCTCTATGTTGTTTATGTCCACTCTGATCTTTATTATTTCCTTCCTTCTGCTTACTCTGGGCTTTTCTTGTTGGTCTTTTTCTAACTCTGATTTGTAGGGTTAGATAATTTATTACCATTTTTTCTTGTTTTTTTTGAGGTAGGCCTGTAGAGCTATGAACTTCACTCTCAAGACTGCTTTCACTGTGTCCCATAAATATTGGATTGTTGTGTTTTCATTATTGTTTTTTGCCATGATGCTTTTTATTTTTTCTTTGATCTCTCTGGTAACTCAGTCATTGTTTAATAGCATGCTATCTATCCTCCAGGTGTTTGATTTTTTTGATTTATTGTAGTTAATTTCTGGTTTGCCATTTTGATCTGAGAAGATGCTAATATGATTTCTATCTTCTTGAATTTGCAGAGACTTTGCCTGTGTCCCCATATATGGTCTATCTTTGAAGATGACCCAGGTGCACTTGAGAAGAATGTATATTCTGTGGCTTTGGGGTGCAATGTTCTAAAGATGTCAATTAATTCCATCTGATCTAGTGTGTCATTTGGGATTGATATTTCTTTTCTGATTTTTTTGTTTAAAGGATTTGTCCAGTAGTGTTAGTGGGGTTTTAAAGTCCTCTACTATGACTGTATTGCTGTAAATATCTCCCTTGTTATTCT